AATTTAAATTATACCTCTCAATCAAAAAATTGGTTTTTTCATACTTAGTTTTAAACTTATGTTAAAAAAATTTAGTGGTCGATTTTTTTTGAACACCACTGTATAGTGGTGGAAAATAAAAATGAGACTAACTTAAAGTTTTGTTTAAAAAGTTATTCTTATTAAATTTCATTTTAAATTGTCTTCTATTTATATTATAATACCTTTTTATAAAAGAATTTATATACAATAATACTTTTAAACAATATATGCTGTAAAAAAATTTTAAACGGAAAAAATAAATGAAACTTCTTTGAAAATTTTTCATTTTCCCTCTTAAATAATTTAAAGTAATTTTTTATTATCTCTTAAATGGCAAAACATATTACTAAGGATGATAAAATAAAAATAGTTACATTGAAAAAAGCAGGAGTTTAGAATTTAGAAATTATGAATAAATTTAAAATAAGTAAAGCAATTTTTTTTAGAATAATTCAAAGGTACAAATTAATGAATAATATTAATAGAAAGAAAGGATTTGGGTATTGTTTCGATTGGCGCCCCAAAAAAATTTAAGCGCCTCAAATTTATATATATAAAATTTAAAAAAATTCTTTAAATCCTTTATGATTTATGAAAAATTATTAGAAATATTGGGGAGGAATAATCTTTCTTGACCTTTCTAGAAGAAAGTGGATGCTTAAAACCTGTGAATGAGAGACAGTGTAAATTTTGTGATAGCTGCAGACTCTCCATAAAGTCAAGAAGAAGAGTCCAAAATGTACATTTTTCTTCGATGCAAGTCGTTTCGAAGAGAATATACTCTTTTTGATAATACTCTTTTTTGTTATGAAGAGGGAAGAAGACGACTTGCTACTCCAGTTCAAACATTAGTAAAATTGATCTATTTTTATTTTGAAGAAAGGACAGTAAAATATATCATGTCAGCCACTCAAATTAAAGGTAGTGAAACTGTTACTAATTGGACGAACTACATAATGTTGGAAACTCATGATCATATCATGAGTGAAAAATTGGGGGTGAAGGTAAAGTTGTACAAATCGACGAATCTCTGTTTGAGGTCGTCGAAAGTACAACCGTGGAAGACTTCTTTTGGGTGACTTTATGGAGAATAATAGTGATGCTAGCCGTAAAATAAATTATGGGGAACGAGTAAATGGATCATGGGTTTTTAACATGACTGAAGAAGGGTCTAGAAAGGTTAAAATGTTTGTTGTAGAAAGAATAGATCGCAACACTCTACTTCCTCTCCTAGTTAAGCATATTAATTTAAAAACTACCATTCATAGTGATGGATGGAGTGTATATTCGGGATTGAATACTATGTTTCACGACCATAAGGTCGTAAATCATTCTGAAAACTTTGTTGACCCTGAGACCCGCTGTCATACTCAATTAATTGAGTGTATTTGGGGTCATGCAAAATTGAAAATAATTAAGAATAAGAGGGGAACTACCTCATCATTGTTACAAAGTTATTTGAGCTTTTTCTGCTTCTGTTACTTATACAAAGATGAAGCATTTGAAAAATTTTTAGAAATTATTGGTAAAAACA